AACAACAACAACAACAACCCATGTCAGTGTGTAGGCCTCAACTAGCCCAAAATTAATCCCTCCCTTTCCCTCCCCATCCTGGTAACCTACTAGGTGAGTTCCCTTTCCAAAGCAAACCCTTCTCTGTCATTTTACTGTAATGGGCTAATACAGTACTTGTCTTTCTGCAATTGGCTTAATTCACTCAGCATAATGTGCTCCCCAATGCTGTAAATCTTTATGGAAGCAGACTGCCTCATCTCCTGCAGAGCAGCTGTGGGTTCAAACTGCTGATCTTTGGTTAACAACCAAATGCCTTAACTGCTGTGCCACCAAGGCTTCTGCCAAAAGGGGTGTAGGGAAGGAATCTGACTTCCTCTTTACAAGGCGGAAGAAGGATCCAGAACAACATCAACACCCCAAGGCTGATTTCTATGAGGTGGAGGTCAGACATGCCACCACCCTCCAACCATCTTGTCAATTCTGAGACTAACCATCCCTCCCTGGCACTCTCTACTTCTCTGCTGGGTTTGATAATTCATTGCAATGGCCAGACAGAACTCACAGACAATAACTCAGGATACAGTTTTTCAACCAGGACAGCTTCTTCTCAACCGTGCAGTAGGCACACATCTCTCTGGCCTCATCCTCTACCCTGCTTAGGCAAGTATTACAACTCTTTCAGCTCTGCTGATAGATGACCAGAGAGTTGATTCCAACTTAATGCTGCCAGCAAGCCTCGTGCCCAAAAGCACTCAGCTTTCTCACTCTGTGGCTTGGGAAGCCTATCACTCTATCTCATGCCAGTCTCTGGGTTCTGCTAGTTCTCCTGCTTCCGCTGCTGCCTCTTTGCACAGGGATCTCAGGTTCAAGGACATGCTTTACTCCTGGATCTTCTGTCTTGGTGGTAGTCAGTTCCCTTTTCCACCTCTGATGTGGCTCATTTGAAGCCTAATGGAATGACAGAACTGACCAATTCTTACATTAGGGTTTGATGCACCTTATTTCCATGTAAATAAAGTGTCCTATAGAAAGTGTCATGTACCTTATTTACATTATTAACAAGTTATCTAACCCCCTTGGTTAGGCTACAGGCACGTCACTTTTACATACTCCCACCTGGTCATCTGGTGGGTGTCACAAAGACCATGGCTAGAAGAGCCATATTAAGTAATTCACTGCACCACAGCTCCTTTCTGTGACATCAGTGTTACTCAAATACTGGAGGAAGATTCTAACTAGGGGCATCTGATTGGTTATTTCTCTAAGGTATGTACACTGCCAACCATGTCAGGAAGACACCAAGATCTGAAGTACAATCAACTCAGAAATTGGCTGCCTTGTTTTGGGAGAAGTTACAGGGTATGTTAGAAAAGTTTTATATCATCAATTGCTGCTGTGTATATGAGTACCTGGAAGGGCAGGCACATCTAGGGAGCCTTACTATTATATAGGCAGGAAGATCTATATAACTTCTTTCTGAAGAAGCCCATTGTCCTTTTGGACATCAGAAAAGAACAGTCATCATGTTCAACTGAATTCTCCTCAGAGAGGGCCCTTGAATTTGCCGTTCTCTGAAAGAAGAGGACGGGGCTTTGAACCAATATCCTACATTGTACTACCTATAATTTTATATCCTCAAGGGGGCTTATACAGACTTCTTTCCAGAATATATGGAGCTGTGCCAACCACAGAGCTACTGCCCTATGCATCACTAACACCATAGGCTGAACTACTGAGTTGTCAAAGCCAGAGCAAAGCATGGTATGGAGAGTAGCAGCTGTGGCAGCAGATTGCCCTTCTAGTGAAGGACATGAACCCATGATAAGGGGTCAGCAACTGGGAGCTAAGGACTCACCAAAAGATGCTGTGGATACCCTGAACAGAAAGAAGCCATCTTCTCTGTGGCTTGACCCAGGATTACTAAAAGATGTCTGCAAAGCAACAGACTGGCAAGCTACTGAAATCTCCGGCCTGGAAATTGGTTGGGTTTCAGTCGAGCTCCTGGCTGATGGATGAGTCCTGGAACTGGCTCTGTAAGGCTGTAACCTTGAGTTGCATAGAGATTTACGTTGCTTCTGTGAGGTCTTGCATCCTCTTCTCAACTAAACTCATCTTGTGATAAGCCAGGCAGCTCTTTCTCTCCCCGAGCTTCTGGGTATGTAAGAGAGTTGCCCGTGTTCTCTGTGTATTTTCCTTCTTTGTCTTCTCTGCTTCTCTCTCTGTCTCCTCTTAAATGGGAGAATAAACACATCAGAATGAATATATATATATATATGTTGTTATGTGCC